AAGTACAGACTTAATTGAATTTTCGCTCTTATTTGATAATAATATTACAACTATCCCATCAAATATTTGAAAATGTTATGTATAAAGGTGAAACAATGAGTTATGATTATAAAAAAAAATCTGAATACAAAATTCTGAAGGCGGATTGAAATTGCCTCTTACATTAATAATTTCGACAAAAATTAACAAAAATAATGAAAACTTTTTTACTGCTATCTGTGTTATTTTTTAAGATATTTATGAAAATAATGAACAAAGTTTTATAAAATGTTTAAAAACGAAAAATACAATATGTAATATAACATATAATCGAATAATAAAGTTCTTACTAAAAGTCAGTAATTGTAAAATTCGATTCATTTAAAACAAATTGATTTTTATTGCCTTCTTAAATAGTCATCATTGTTTTAAAAATTTTAAGTTGTGTTGCAATAACTAAAAATTACCGTTCCGGTCTTGACTTAAAAAAATATGGTCACGTTATTTATCATACGAATAGTGAAATATTGCATAACTGCCCTTCAATGTGTTTTAGAACTGAAGTTCATACGCAAAAACTATTATATTAATAATGGTTCAAATTGTTCTAATTAAATATAATTTGATTGCAACGAGAATCATTGTTGTATCGCCTAAGCTTGCATATCACGACAAATCATAAAACTATTAATGCTAACACTTACCGGAAATAATGAGGGCTGCTGTCTTCAAATTTAACTCACATTAAACACACATTTATTCTGTACAATTCCTCGCACAGAATTTAAACACTAAACTGTATAATAATACTTTCATTTATAGTTTAATAAATTTTAATTGCCGATATATTTACGCGGTAAACGGTATAATAACGCGCCGGAGTCTGCAGCCGATATGGCGCCGCCGACTGCAGAACCTTAACTGAAGCCTGAAGGAGGAATCTTCGGGTTCGGGAATTTCGGGTTTTGGCCCGAACCTCGAGGTAGTTGCAATTTCGTCATTATTCGACCAATCAGAAGGCAGGATGTTCTTCAATAACAAATCATCAAGTTAAAATGCTGCGTCATCCAGAGTATCTTTTGCATATACGAAAATATTAAAATATCATATTATATATATTGTTTATAATGAAATAGAATTATTGAAATAAGATAAAACACAATTTTATATTAATTTAATCAGCATTTTCTCTTAGTAAGCATCCTTGTCCGTAAATGATGAACTTCTGCTTTAAAAACATATTATTAATAATTATTATAATGCAATAATAATTATATTATATATAAGTACCTTCTAGAAATCGATCATATTTATTTATTTATTATTTTATTATAATCCCAATGTGCAAATAAAGGGCAAGACATTGACGCTCTAACAAAATATATAAAGTGATCTTGAACGAAATAAAAAACTATCGTACCATAATTACTACTGTTTCTTCTTCAACAGTATTTGGCGAAATATTAGTAGAAAATATCTCATCAAGATTGATCATAAGTAATCATTTGTCTATTTACTAACAAATTTACTACCACGAGCTGTGGAAAAAAACAATATGATGATAATGTGGTGTGGCTTGAGTGATTTTATAACGATTTTTATAACATTCATCAAATTAACTTGGTCCTATTTATTCTTAGAAAGTTGATCCTCAATTTAAAAAATAACAAAATTTTTATTTTGTTGGCTCATAATAAGAACAAATTCATCAGACGGAAACATCTGAAGCTACAATATACATATATGACCAGATACGTATTTGATAACAAATTACATTCACAGTGGTGCTTTACAATTTTTCATTTTCAGGATCCAGAAAATGTTGAATCGGTATTTTATTCAATGACCCTACTTTTTATTCAGTCACAAACATCCACTTCAACCCACATGTTTCGCTTTTAGTGCCAACATTCTTCTGTAACCTTTTTAATACTTGTTATGTTCACCTATATATTTCTCTGTCATTAATACAACGCAATTCTGAAATTAAACATTTTAAATAATAGTATGACACTGTTTCTTTTAAGGTTCATTGGTTTTATTTTAGGCTTGAATATTATTCAATATATTAGGATTATGGCAAATCAACAACTATCACAATCATGTTTATCAACTGAATAAATCTTATTTCATTGATCGATTTTCAGATGGAAATGCATGAAGTAAGAAAAAAAGCTAAAGTATTTAAAAGTCTATACAATTGTGAAAAGTTAACAATAATATTAATGCATTACTGCACAGTTGTATTGAGGAGAGATAGTAAATTACCATAGAATTATAACAGAATATTTCTATGTTAGCAATTAGCATCAAATGTAAGACTTTATTCAAAATTTGAATTATGAAACAAATCCAATGTTATATTGCAGAAATATGGTGCATTCAACTATATATAAAAAGGCATTTCTGAATCTAGAACATCAAAATTAAAACCTCACGTTTACAATAGACAATGGCGTTTTATTTATATTTTAAAATGTATGAAATCATTGTTATACATTTTCTTTTGTCTACAGAAAAACAAGCATTATCTGGCAGAAAGCAATTTTTCAGTTTGTTAGTATACTGCCAGCAATGGAAGAAACTCTAATGGTATGCGGCTGGTACAGCTAAGTATTTCTGTATGACGTCTCCATTCAAAATCGCTGTTACTGGCGACCATCTAAAACACTTAATTAAAGATACCAGGCACCTCTGTCTGACTAAGATATGAAAACAATGTATATATGTAAATAAATAAAAATAATCTAATGAACTGAGCATTCTAGTCTGGTTCCACATTTAACTCCTTTTTCTTTGCTTATTCATTTGGTCAATTGTTTTTAACCAGTCTAAATTTTTTTTACCCCTCTTGTCGAAGAAAATGTTCTCTGCAGCAAGATTTGTTCTATCTAGTATTGCGCATCTCTCTCCAATGCTCTACTGTGTCCTATTCGTGCCCACACAGATCACACCATTGTTCTTTCTGACACCACCAGTGTTTATGTTGTTTATAAATTGTTAAGTAATGGTTATTCTGTGGTTATCCCAAAAGGCTGTATCGTAGATACGATACGAGCATCCTTATTGTCTCCCATTTATGATCAGTATATTCAAGCAAAACTGCTGTCTTAAATCATTATGGAGCGATCAGACTGCTAAAATTGTAAGCAGTGTTGCATCTTGTTATATTTTTGTTTATTATTTCATGTGCTGGCAGTTTATCTTGCCTTTCTTTCGAATTATATTTTAAAATGTATCAAATCAATCTGACAGAAGGCAATTTTTCAGTTTGTAGCAATGGAAAAAACACTTTCTGATGGCATGCCACTGGTACAGCTAAGTATTTCTTTATGACGTCTCCATTAAAAATTGCTGTTACTGCTGACCATCTAAAACACTTAAGTATCCAATATTTATATTTTAAAATGTATGAAATCATTCTTATACATTTTTTTCATACAGAAACACGAACATTATCTAAGAAAAGGCAATTTCTTCAGCTTGTTAGTATACTGCCAGCAATGGAAAAAGCTCTTTCTGATAGTATGTGGCTGGTACAGCCAAGTATTTGTTTATGATGCTTTCACTCAAAACCGCTGTTACTGGTGACCATCTAAAACAATTAAGGATCCAATAAACTTGGTTCCTGGACTGAATCCACATTTAACTCCTTTTCCTTTGTTGTTTTATTCGGGCAATTGTTTTCAATCGGTCTAAAATTTTCTTATCTCTCTTGCAGGTGAAAATGTCCTCTGCGGCAGGGTTTGTTCTATCCTGTATCGCGCATCTTTCTCTTCAGTGTTCCACTGTGCTCTCTTCCTGCCGATATAGACCACACCATTGTTCTTCCTGGCACAACCAGTGTTTATTTTGTTTATAAAGTGGTAACGGTTATTCCGTGATTATTCCGAAAGGCTCTATCATAACTATGATACGAGCAACCATATTGTCTCTCATTTATGTTCAGTAATTTCAAGCAAAACTGCTGTCCTAAATCATTATGGATCAGACTGCTAAACTTGCAAGCAGTGTTCCACCTTGTTATATTTTTGTTTATTATTTCATAAGCTGGCAGTTGCTCTTGCTTTTCTTTCAAATTATAACTGGCTAAAGTCGAATGATGGAAATGGCTTATTACACTACATTTTAAACATCTTGAATGTAACCATCAGAAAGGGCCTTATTAATGCATACCTGCAGGATATTTTACTGCATAAGTTAAATTGTTATTATTAGCAGTGTTCCACCTTGTTATATTTTTGTTTATTATTTCATGAGCTAGCAGATCTAGCTTTTCTCTCAAATTATAACTGGCTAAAGTCGAATGGTGCAAATGACTTACTACACTACTACATTTTAAATATCTTGAATGTAACCATCAGAAAGGGCCTTAGTAATGCATACCTGTAGGATATTTTACTGCATATGTTAAATTGTTGTTATTAGCAGTGTTCCACCTTGTTATAGTTTTGTTTAATATTTCATGAGCTAGCAGATCTTGCTTTTCTTTCAAATTATAACTGGCTAAAGTCGAATGGTAGAAATGACTTACTACACTACTATATTTTAAATATCTTGAATGTAACCATCAGAAAGGGCCTTATTAATGCATACCTGTAGGATATTTATACTGCATAAGTTGAATTGTTATTACCAGGATATGTTCAAATTTGAAGTATAAAAATTATTTTCATATTTATATTTTATTCTAATTTTTCTTACATATTTGTTATCATTATCAAATACTATAGTATTCGCGTCCGGATGAGGAGCTCTTGCCAGGTTTCACTAGTCACAAATAAGATTTAATACAATATTTTAATATAAACTTATTTATTTTAACGTAATATAGTTCACTCTTACTTTGACAGATCACGAAAGAAAATTATAGAAGAAAGACCGGCTTCATCTAAATAAATATGGCCGGCGTTTTCTTTGTAACATCATATTTGTATGTTGGTACCCTGGTTGGGTGTTTTTGTCAGCTGTCAAATTAGCAGTTTCTCAACATTTGCTATCAAAGCTGATATAAAGGTTTATATACACATACAAATACATGAAACAGTGCGAAGCAGGAATTGCGTGTCAAATTTAGTTTTGACGTTTGTTGACATTTTTGTTATGGTCAAACTTATAATAATGACAAGATAATTATGAACGATGCTTCAATTTTGGAAGAAATCCGGTTTGTATTATTTCTAATTAATGAATTCATATTGTCGAATCATTCACCGTAAAATAGTAAAAGTTGTTTAACCTAATTACCTCAATTTTATTTTCACCCACAATCATCATTCATTTACACGTACTCATTGAAAAATGAAGATAAACATATTATTTTTTGTTAATACTAAATCTTTTATAGATCATAAACAAAAACGAAAACAAAGTTTAACAAAGGGATCGCCAAAAAATGGTCAGCTACCTACACGGCGAAATGCAAAATTAGGCGATGACATTGTTGAAATTGATGAACAGAGTGAGTAAATTATTATTATTATTAAAATTATATATCTCAGTAACCTGTTTAGATATTGTTTTTTCTATATGAACAAAATTTAAATTTAAGTCAATCATATACAAAATTATGTCTTAGTACTGTTTTAACATAATGAATGGGATTCTTCTTATGTGATAACTTATGTGTTTTGTTACTAGCAACATAATAATTTGTGTATGAGAGAATAATTGATTGTTGAAGAGGTTCTCATCTAGCAGATCTTTCAACAATGAATGGTTTAGTATTAAAAGCCAACAAATACATAATTTGCAAAATATATCATCATTATTCACACATACAATTAAACTAATTCGAATGAGTCAATTACCACAAATTATTAATTTGATTGTATTCATTGCCTACAGTTCATTATCATACCTTCTCTTGATACCTATGTATTATTGCAGATGGGCCTTATAAACCCAGATCCCGTCTCTCTAAAACTCTTCGTGAAGTGCTTATTGACAAAGATGCACTTGGCTACTTTATTCAGTTTATGGATTCCAAGTCAGTAGTAGCATTAATTAAATTTTGGTTGGATGTGGAAAGTTTTCGATCCGCAGCCACCTGTACTGATGAGAATGATGGAATGCTTTTATCACCTGAAGATCGTTCCATAATGAGCAGTATGTCAGCAGATTTAAATTCACCTATAGACCACTTCGATGATGTTTTTGATTCCATATCAATAAAAGCTGTAGAAAACAATTGTAGTAAACCTGTAGATTATAAAAGTGAGCAGTGCTTCTTAAAGAATGGTAACAGAAAACGCAGGACATTATCTTGTCAATCTGATATTTCAAAGGTTGAGGATGATAATGTTTCAGCTAGCACGGATTGTGATTCTTTGTATCTTACAGGAGAATCGGAAAATGATAATAAATCTACTTATAAAACCATAGAATCTGAAAATGAGTTTACATCCTCAAATAAAATATTGGGTTCAGTACATTCTTTGCAAGCGGATGTGTTTCAAACTGGTCGTGGTGCTCATAAGGAGTGCGCTAATGGATTTGATTGCATGAAATTGGAAATCAAGCGCACATATTCCGTACCTCAGGATTTTGAAGACAATCAGCTGACACGTACAATATCTATGAATAGTCTTAAGAAACGAAAAGATTTCTATTCTAGCATTCATCAAGATGCTATGAGAATATCAAAAAAGTATATTTGTGAAAATGCTCCTTATCATATAAAGTTACCAGATACCATTCGTAGTGAAGTATTAAATAAAATACAAAGTAATACTATTGAATCAGAGATGTTCACACCTGCACAAGAACTTGTATTTATGCAAATAGAAAATAATTATTTTACACACTTTTTGAGAAGTGATTTTAACACAAAACATCAAATAGATGTACTGACATCAGGTAATGTGATTTTAGAAGATATATTATTCAATGAAACAGCTTTGTTTCATTTTATGGAATATTTAGAACAAGAATCTCCAGTGAATCGTGATTTTATAGAGTTTTGGTTATCGGCAGTTAATTTTAGACAAACTGCTCATTATGATAATGAACAAATGCAAAGTGATGCCATGACATTGTATGATAAATATTTCTCTTTGCAAGCTCTAAACCCTTTAAATTTGGGAGATAAAGTTCGATTTCATGTTGAACAAAATATCTGTCGAGAAGAAGGACCTGCAATTACATGCTTTGATTTACCTTTAAAAATTGTACAGAATTATTTAGAAAAAAATTACTTAAAACCATTTCTAATGTCGCAATTGTTTTTTAAATATCTAAATGAACTAATAAATTCTATAAATACAAATCCATGGCCAAAGTTTGGCCACAGAAAGAGTGGCTCTGATGCCAGTAGCGAAATAAGTGTAACAAACTCCACTGTGCACAAAAATTGTAAAAACAAATCCAAAGATAAATTTGATATGAGTATTGAAACCAGAAGCATGACCGACCCGGATTCACTTTGGCGCAGAAAGCAATGTGGCCTTAAATTTGGCCATGTGAATAATTTAGGACGTTTTCAAAGTGATTTGGAACGGGAACCTGAATCAAGGAGCAATTGGCGGTTATCAAAAGCTATGAAGCGATTTGTGAACAAAAAAGATGTTACTAAAGAAGAAATAGCTTGGCAAGTGGCAGAAATGATTGTGAAAGACATCACGAGTTTAACATTAAACCATGAATTTAATGATGATCCTAGTTGATTTTGTAATCTATTCAAGTGGGTTTGTGTATTATAGTGTTGTTATAAATGTTAACAAATTAGGTTTAAGTGAAAAAAGAATAGTTTTCTTTAAGAACAAATAAGTGTGAAAAATATGATATACTTTATTTCTAGGCCTGAAATGCTGTTGAATGTATACATTTGAGAAGAATTATTTGAGAAATAGTTCTAAATTAGTGAGGAATGAATATTATAAATTCATTTTGCTTATATAATTAAATTTTATAATAATTTGTTTTCTGATTCTAAATTTTCTTTGTTGTTATTTAAGAATTTTATGCAGTCAGGCTATGAATTTATCTTCTGAAATATTCCATAGCATGATCTCACTCCAAATTCTAATGTTAAAATTATCTAGTTATTTATTCAATGTTTGCAATTTTGCTTTTGACGTTTATGTGGTTTATATAATAATTTGAAGATAGTCATAGAGAAAGTATTTTTGGTTAGTGATTTGTCATGTATTTGAAAAACTATTGATTTATGTTTATGAAATAATATATTGTTATTAATGTGATTAGACATGTTTATCTTAGGACGACAAGTTATGAGTTATTCGTTCAAATAGTAATAATTAAAATAATAATGTTTTTGAAAATAATGTTAACTTGTCGTTGCTATTTTCATTCTGCTAAAAATTGTATATCATAACCTGATGAGGCAACTTCTATTCTCTAAAATTAAAATTATTGTTATTATTATACAGGGTATCCCAGAACTCAATGTCAAGCCCAAACAGGTCGATGTTAGTCATAACTATCATGACAAAAATTTAAAAAAAAATCACATAGTTTGAATATCATGAGCTTTTAAATGCAGCCTAGAGCTTTGATGTAAATATGACCTTTTTTTTTGGTATTGTGGTTATATATTATTAACTTCGTTCATAATAGCTTGAAGCTTTGGATTCGTAATAGTTAAAAATAATTCTAGGACCACAGTCAATAATAAACAATAAGATTTTTTGTAAACTATGAATTTATAATTTTTTAAGTAAGTCGACTTTGACTTTCAAAAAAGTTCTGAAATGTGTTGGCAAGTTCCTTGAAAACAAATATGCCACTATTTTTGACTGTGGTTCTAGAAATGCTATTTACAATTAATATCCCAAGGCTTAAATGAACAAAACTAATAAATATTAACTACATTAACCGAAAAATAATCAGGTTTCTCTTAAAAATTATAATATTTAAACTACATGAGATTTAGAGTTTTTTTTTCTATTTTTTATGATAGTTACGATTAATATTATCACCCTGTTTGGGCTTGAAGTTGAGTTGTGGGACACCCTGCATAGTCACGTGTTATATATTACATTTAGAATTATTTTGTATTCCTCGGATCCTCAAGTTATTGAGCATATCAGCACATAATATGCATTATTGGAAAATAATTTGTAAATCAATATTAATTCAAGTAGTGCATTGTTTTTAAAAAATTGTTTTAATTGTCATATCAGGTTGTTGATTTATATCATAAAGACATGTAACAGTTTAGGCTAAAATTTCCGAAAAATCTCTATCGTCAACTTCAACATTTTAATATACACAGTATTATTAATTAATAAATCTCTTTGAACGAATTCAAACACTCACAAATTAAGTTGAAAAATTAATTGTTATATTTCTAAGCTTGTATATACTCTAAATACTAAAGTAAAATTATGTTTATTTATATTGTTTCCACGTCAACAAAACATATTTTTTCATATACACAAAATAGTTGAACTTAATAATTGTTAGAAATAGTGATGCACGTATGGTACAAAAGTTCTTAAAGCTGCAGAATCTCATATCAACGGCTATTTAAATAGTACACAAATAAAATATTACTTCATTCCTTCAAATTTTTGGTTACAAAAATACTCAATAACCTAAGCTATTTTTAAGAAGTCTAGAAATTTAAGTTAAAGTCAAAAGAAAAATATTACGTGTTTATATTTTATGTACTATATAATAACCTACTTACTTCTCTTATCAACTTCAATGTACTATTATTTGTGATTTATATATTTTTATTAATGAATTATTTAAAAGCATGATCGTATTCCTGCATTTTTAAAATGCATATGGTACTGTGTATAGAGTGATATTATATATATATAATAATAAATAAAAATTATATTTGTATTAAAAATATAACAAATGCGTTTTAACTATATCAGCCTGCTTTTTTAAAGAATGCAAAAGAAACTATTTTTATTATATTTATAAATTTTACCAATATCGCCAATAAAATAATGAATTAAAATAAGAGAATAAAAAGATATAGATTTAAAAAAACAACGATTATAATAACATTAACATAATAAAATACCTTAAAAATATATCACAAATAAGAACAGCTATGATTCACACTCCAATATGGAACTTCTCTAGAACTAGCAGTCCCCAGCAATGGCGTACTTTCATCTTCTGAAATAATTATTTAGGTGTAGATATTTCATTTTTTCAGTATGTATTCAAATTTAAAAGATTTTAAAATTATTATTTATTATTTATATTAGGTGTTTGTTTTTTTTTCTGAACGGTTAATCCTAAATTTAAAAAATTTTTTGAAAGTGCACGTTCAACGTGCTATTCATTTGCAACGATTCGGAACTGGATACGTTCCATAATTAAGTTTTCTGCCAAAAACAGTATTGTAAATATAATGATAGACAATATTTTTTGTTCTTTTACTACGTATTGTATTAATTGATTGGGCTCGTTTTTTTCAATATAATTAGATATGTACATATTATATTTTTGAGAGAGTCTAATGATGTATCCGAAATGTTGCTAATAAACAACGTCTTTTTTGTTTTGGATAGTGTGTTCAGAAAATACAAATAAATTCTTTTTCGATTAGCTTAAGTCGACTTGAATGACCTCTGAATAGAACCGATTTATTAACTTCCCGTAGGGTAAGTTATAGTAATCGTCCAAAAATCGAAATCAAAATTTTTTACATTTCTCGACGTTTTGAAGGTTTCTGAACATTTTGGCATACCTCAGAAAAAATGGATGTGTGTGTGTGTGTGTGTGTGTGTGTGTGTGTGTGTGTGTGTGTTTTGTATGTCCGCGTTTTTTTCGTCCACGTTTTCGGGCGCACGGATCAACCGATTTGAATGGTTTAAAAACATTCGATTCCTATTGATAGGGAGATGTGCTGATTAGTTTTTGGCAAAGGTAGGTCCAGCCGTTACGGAGATATGGAGCAAAGAGTGCAAAAAATAGAAAGCGAATTTTGAGAGAACGGATCAACCGATTTGAATGGTTTAAAAAACATTCGATTCCTATTGATAGGGAGATGTGCTGATTAGTTTTTGGCAAAGGTAGGCCCAGAGGTTTCGGAGTTACAGAGCTAAATTTAAAAAAAATGGCTATTTTTGAGAGAACTAAGCGTCCGATTTAAATGATTCAAAGAACTTTCTGCTTTTTTCAACAAAACAATTGATTTTGGAAAAAAAAAATTTTTGTTTCTAATTTTTTTTCAAAAATTTTTTTTTTGTAATTTTGGACTAAAAATTCAGCTAAGCACAGTCTAAGCGCCACTCTGGTAGAAATGTTTACGCAAGTGCGTTTAGACTGTTTGTGTACTGGAGCACTTTTCCAATTTTGTGAAAATTATTGAAAAATGTGAAAATGCCGCCAAACTGAGCACAGTATAAGTGAAAATGTCGCACAGAATTATTTGCAAATGCGTTTAGACTGTGACTATGCGGGAGCACTTTTTCAATTTTGTGTAAATTTGGCAACTATTTTTTTTTGGAATTTGATTCGAAATGAAATGACGATTGTTAATGTTCTGGAGATCATAAATTGATTTATTTATAATTAACTTTCCATAGGGTAAGTAATCGCAAAAAATCGAAAATGAATATTTTTATATATCTTCACGTTTCAGAGGTTTCTGAATATGTTGGCATACCTTGGAGAAAATTGATGTATGTGTGTGTGTATGTGTGTGTGTGCGTGCATGTGTGTGTGTTCGGATACAAATTTTCGTCGACGATTTCGGGAACACGGATAAAGCAATTTGAATAATTCAAAAAACATTCTAGCCGTTCCGAAGATATGGGGCAAAAAGGGTCAAAAACGGTAACTTAGTTTTTAAGAGAACGGAGCGTTCGATTTGTATAGTTCAAAAAACATTTTACTTGTATTAACAAGATGAAGATTTGATCAAATTTTCATGAAGATAGGACTAGCGGTTTCGGAGATCTAGTAAAAAAAACTAAAAAAAAATAACATTTGGCGGTCAACAATAATCATTAGACATTAGACATATGCATATCAAATTATCAGATATTTTATTGAGATTGTTACAATAAGTATAAGTTTTGTTTACATTCCTATGGGTTCCGTACCATTGTTTTTCTGTTAGACAGCGACGCGGCGCTTACGCGCTTTATATTTTGTCTCTATGCAGTTAAAGCAGTACGATTGCTTTGAAAAAAAGTTCAGATCTTCCAAAATATATCAAAATGAAGATAACATTTTTTCCAAAAAAAAATTTTTATAAAAAAAATTGTTTAAAATTTTTTTTTTTTTAAAAAATTTTATTTTCAAAAAAGTAATTTTTTGTCCAATTTAAAATTTCTAAAAAATCTTATTTTTCGAAGTAAAATTTTTTCAAAAATGTTAATCGTTTTTAAAAAAATAATAATTTTTGGTACGGGAAGTTGCAGCAATTTGCCTCAAGGCACGATGCCTTAATTGCCTTAAGACAGAATTCCACTTACAGCTAGTTTTAATTCATAACCATAATATTTCATAGCTACGGATCGAGTTGCTTTTCGCAGAAGATAATTCACTAATTTAGTATGAATTCATTTTAAATCGTTTTTGATACAAATCGTGATCTAGCAATATTTTTAAATGAAAAAACTATGTTTATTTTTTAATGAACATTTTTTTAAATATTAATATTTATTTTTTTAATATTAAATAACTGCTGTAAAAGTTAGCGAGCCATCCAGTAGTGCTACTGAACGTG